TGTGGATTCATGCAAAACATGCAGGGGTGAGTGAAATAGCTTGGGACTGCTTGGGACCGTTGTTCTGGTACTGAGTGAGCCAAAAATAATAATGATTTTCTTCGGGACCCAGTGGTCTTAGAGTTACCTCTATGGTATTGTGGTCAATGTTGAAAATATTGTCATTTCGGCATTTTTTTACTAATATTCTTCAACAAAAAACTTGCTTAAATACTCGGATGTAAACAATGTAACGAACGAACGAACCTGCACGAACTGCTGAAGGAAGAATGCAAACAAACTTTATAAGAGTCATGTGGGTAGGTGCACTCCCAACACCATGTACACGTTATTTATGGAGCAAAGGGTGAACTTTCGACAGCAGTCGCGCACGGAACCCCTTTGGATAAGGTTGTGTTTGTTCTCTGTTTTGTGCGTGCGTTCGCCTTCATAGTTTTCGGCTGCATTTGCCGGATTAGCGCTGGCACTCTGCCTCCCGGACGGTTATACGTGTGTGAGTGGTAGTTTTCTCGCTTTCCGAGAAGTTTTAGAATCGAGAAAGAAAACATGATTCATGATGTTTGCAAAATAACAAGCATCAGAAGGTGTGGCGCTGCGTGGTTTGATTGTTTCTCCCGGACCAGAAATTTGTGGCATCGCGAGTGAAAATTTTAATTCCAGTTTATGTACGCGCTGCAAGGTGCGTGTAAAGCTTGGCACGATTGGTGTTGATGTTGGTAACTATTTTAGCAAAAAATAAAAAAATAAATCAAAAGAAATTGATATCGAAAGTGTACCAAAAGTGCTTCTGAACGTGTTTCGCAGTTGGATGTGGTGAAATTCGTGGTTGTTTTCAGTGAAAATTCCGTATCACTAATTTGCTCAATGAGTTCCCTTTTTTCCGTTCGACGACATCGGGAATGCGCTCCCGGATATATTGATTTGGTGAGTACGTTCCAGTTGAGGATTGTTCTTGTACATTTCTCGATTGCATTTTCGAGGGGACGTGTCTGCTTTTGTGGGCAGTGCGTTTGATGTTCGGTTTGGTAGTATCCTTTTAAATATAATGTCTCATGTCCAAATAACCTCGATTTTCGGTCTATTGATTCAATACTTTAGTATTATATTTTCAAAACATACAATGATGCATTATGTCATTTCATGGCACATAAAACAAAAAGTGTGTGTATATGACCCAATAATCTAGGTTATTTGTGTTTTGTTATACATCTTTATTTTTTATTATATTTTTCATTTTACTACATATTTTATATAGGGTAAATTATGGCTTCGGCACCCATTGACTGTTTTCGGCAACCGAAATTGAAACGTTTATTTCACTGTATTTTCCCATCAAAACTCTTCGCTGAATGTAATAAGCCGATTCCTTACCTTTTCAGCTTCAATCTGATTACATTTTTACGACTGTGAATTCCTGTTATACCATATTTTTCTTTATATTAAATATACATACTACAAAATACGGCTGATTTCGAGTTGCCGATAATAGAACAGCTGGTTAACACGCAGTTCAAATGGAAATTCCGTGTACATTTCCCATAGAAATTGTAAAATTCTCCCGGAAATGTAGATCTTGACCAAATACGATTAGCACAGTTACTAGGGACCTCAATACACACCGAAATAGCAGAAAGGAGGGACGGGGAGGGTAGTGATCCATCATATAAACTTGACCAACCTTAATATAGCGTTTCTTAATCTAAAATTAAACATTGTCTTCAATAAGCCGAACTAAGAATTTAAAAAATTATAAACCGTGTGAATATTTTCTAGTTTAGAGCTAATTTTGATTGACTAATTTGAATTTTAAATGATTGTAGGTACGACTTTTCTCCGAAAACCAGTCCCCCGAAAACGCTTTCCCCGAAAGTTATTGCCCCGAATGTAACTTTTCCCCGAAATACAATTCCCCGAATGGCACAGTTCCCAGAAAATAATTTCCCCGAATGTACCATTTCCCGAATCTGCGCATCTTCGCTGGTACTTGTATCGAACAATACGACAATAAACATATTAATGTGCGTCGAATAAAGACAATAGTTTGACTTTCGTTAAAACAAAATGTAAAGGTCAAGCTCCTGAAATCGGTGTAATCCTATTTCAGCAGCTTTTGACCTTTCCATGTAGTTTTAACGAAAGTCAAACTTTTGTCTTTATTCAACACATATTGATTTCTTCGTGCTCCATACACCTTATAAGGAGTCGCCATGTGACTAATATGTATGGCATGGGGACGCATGATATCTTTTCTTTGTTTGTATGGAGTTTTTTTTTAACGGTCGTACCTATCAAACAAACACACACATTGTATGCAATTAGCTCCATGGATCATACCATATTATACGTCAAAGAATGAACTATGATTCAAAGAAGGAAAATTTCTTGCTACAAGCAAAATTTTCCCTTCTTTGTATCACAGCTCGTTCTTTAACGTTTTGAAGAATAAATATCTTACTAATTTATCAAAGCGATATCTCATTGTAATAAAATTGAAGAACGAGCCGTGATACAAAGAAAGGAAAATGATATCTCTTTGATAAAACCAATTAGATACCCTAATAAAAAATTACCATAAACGAACGATAACCCAAATATGTGAACTATTCCACAAATGGTTTGGATGATACCCAGAACACGTCGTTAAGCAAATTAACCATAACATTTTTATTAGGGTAGGTATTATGCGATACGTTAAGAAACGAGCTGTGCTACAAAGAAGGAACATTTCTTGAAACAAACAACGATTTTTCTTCTTTGTATAAGGGGTGATGTACAAATTATGTCACGCCCTAAGGAGGGACGTGTAGAAATCTGTGATTGATTAATTTTGCCTCAATTTCGCGTGACATAATTAATGTATGGCCCCTAACGGCTCGTTTTTTTAATTTGATTACGATTAGATATCAGTTTTATAAATTAGTAAGATATTTATTCTTCAAAACGTTAAAGAACGAGCTGTGATACAAAGAAGGGAAAATTTTGTTTGTTGCAAGAATTTTTCCTTCTTTTTATCTTAGTTGATTATTTGACGTATAACTTGGTATGTTCCATGGAGCTAATTGCATACAATGTATGTGTGTGTGTGTTGGATAGGTACGAACGTTAAAAAACTCCATACTAATAAATAAAAGATACCATGCGTCCCCATGCAATACATGCTATAGTCACTTTGCGACTCCTTATAGGCCGAATCCAAAATTGTATGGAGCAAGAAGAAAACACCATACACCGATTTCAGAATATTCGGTAAAAAATTACAGGAAATCTGTAAAAAATCACCGAACTGTTTACCGAACGTTCAGCTGTTGAGATTTCGGTAAAATTTCACAGATTTCGGTGAAATAATCTTAGTGTGTGACCTTTACATGTAGTTTTAACGAAAGTCAAACTATTGTCTTGAGCGAACCCCACACGGTAAGAAATATTGTCAGAATACTTTAGAATTCAAGTTTTTTGTACTAATGTTTTGGAGTCATAATTACATAAATATTTGTTATGTGAGAAATGCCTTTGTCCAAAATATTCTAATTGAACACTTTGTCAAGCAGTTTTGGCGTGACTTTCTACCAGCGATTTCACAAAACTGGACCAACTAATTTCTATATTTTTATGAAACGCACAAATTTTGGCTACTTTTCTCGAGGTTCTAGAAGAAAAAATCTCAAAATAATGTTTAATTTCAAAGTTCGAGTGATAGTAAACGACATTTTAACTGCTCGAATGAAGTGGTTAATTGTTTCGATCTCTCATATTTCTAAGACTTCGGGTTTAAATTTGTTTTATTTCTAAATTATATTTTTATTGCATGATTTCTCAATCAATTTCCATATGAGATCTTTAAGTAAAATTATTACAATCAAACAACCTAGTTTTTTTTTTACAATAAGGCCATTACAAAAAATTTCAAAGTTTTTATCCCCTGGTCGTCTCGCGATTCGCGAGTTTGGTGTGACGTTTGACAAGCGGACAAAAAAACGCATTCGTACGAAAATGGGAATAGCCCAAAACCGTTCGATCGAACGATGTTCGAAAGTTAGAATTGCTTCGAACGAAAACGGGAATGGGAAATTGCTTTCGTTTCGAACGAATTCGGTTCGTACGAAAACGGGAATAGAGGTGAGTATTTTTACAGGATTTTTGGATTACTGACTCGGTTAAAATTCAAATGACTGTTATTCGTAAAGATTGGCTAAAATCAACAAATTTTATGTTTCATCATTACACTGGGTTAACAGAAATTAGTCTGTAAATTTTCGTAATACATTTTTTCAACTTTGAATTTTTCACAGATTTTTTTTAAATTTTACCGAGGAGTTCCGCAATTCAAAAACTCGGTAAAAATTACTGACTCGATAAGTGTGTACTGATGTATGGTTGGTGAAGAGGCTAGCGTCTGGAGGGTATTCTCGGGCTAGTGAATGCCACCCATCCCCACTTATAATTCAGTAATACACTATTTATTCAATTTTGTTTGATATGTTTACAAAGTTTGACAAACATAAATGAGCATTGCAGTGTAGTTACCTATTTTCCAAGTCATACACACTAAGATTATTTTACAGATTTCTGTAAAATTTTACCGAAATTTCAACAGCTGAACGTTTGGTAAACAATTTAACAGTTTTCCTGTAATTATTTACAGATATTTGTGAAAAATTCACAAATATTTGTGTAAAATTACAGGAAATCTGCAAAACTGTTTACCGAATGTTCAGCTGTTGAGATTTCGTTTAAATTTTACAGATATCTGTAAAAATTTCGAAGTGTGTAGACTTCAGATAACTGTTCAAAGTCCCAGATTTTTTAACGGAACCATGAACAAAAAAACGGCGCCGGTGGTGTAGTGGTAAGCGTGATTACCTCTCACCCCAGAAGGCCTGGGTTCAATCCCAGTCGGCGCCGCCGGGATGTTCTGAGGCATAACATCTCTGATCACGCCTTCCTTCGGATGGGAAGTAAAGCCGTTGGTCCCCTGTTCATGAGTTGATGGGTCGATAGGTAGGGTCCAGGTGTGGGAGCTGCCTTCCTGGCACGTCGGTAGCATTGGTGCTCAGCACGGAAAACAAGATCGACGGAAAAAAACAAATAAAAGGAAAAAAAAAAAATGAACAAAAAACCAAAGACCACTATGACAAACGCGTTAGGTCTGAAGGGATCTTTTGCCTGACTAATGAAAAGCAGGACGCAGAACATAGACATAGTTTTAAGGTGATACGATCCAGAACCTCGGGCTCTGGTTCCAATTCGCTTTATCCAGGAGTCCATTATCTGCTACCGGAAAACATACAATAACAAAACTGTGATGACAATTAAGTGCCTCAAATCGCAATAGTGCCCGAGATTAACTCCCTAGAAAACTCAAAGTGGTATTGAAAGTGCCTATGATTTATGGACGCGGAATCGTATAACCTTATGAACTCAGTATGTTCCATTCCCAGGTTGGAAATTTTCTCAACTTCCCTGGGCATAGAGTATCACTGTGCTTGTAATAATACAGATTCATGCATTAGTTGGCATAGAAAGCTTTCAATTAATTACTGTGACATGCAAGCTTCAGGAAAAGTCATGTGAAAAGAGGGAAATCAAAGCAAATAATGCTCATGTTCCTAGTTTGTCATACAAGTGGATCCGCGGCATTAAGAAAAAACATTATAAAAATATTTATACAGTGAGCGGTGAAGGGAAACTACAGGAGCAGTGGTACGGTATAACATATTTTATCATTCCATGATTTTTAAACCTAAATTTTCCTGGAAACTTCTACTTATTTTAAGATTATTGATTAAACGGCCATCTGCATCTTAATAGTTGGATACGGATCGTAGTCGCGAACCTCCAAGTCTTCAAACTGAAACTCATCTATTGATTGGATACTTCGTTTGAAGTGAAGTGTAGGAAACCGCCTAGGTACTCTCTTCAACTGCTCTTTCAAAGGTTCAATATGATTGAGGTACACGTGCGTGTCACCAGTGGTATGAACGAAATCACCAGCCTGAATAAGGTTTTGTATAATAATCTATGGACTCATTTATGTTTACATTATTTCAATTTACCTTTAGTCCGGTAACATGTGCTATCATATGCGTGAGGAGTGCGTAACTGGCAATGTTGAATGGGACTCCGAGGCCCATGTCCGCTGATCGCTGATATAGCTGGCACGAGAGCTCGCCATCGGCAACAAAAAACTGCGCCAAACAGTGACATGGAGGAAGAGCCATTTGTGGAATGTCAATTGGATTCCAAGCACTCATGATGATGCGCCGGTCGGTTGGATTATTTTTGATACGGGTAATCACTTCCGTCAGTTGGTCGACCCCTTGGCCTGTGTAATCTTCGTTGCATGTTTTATATTTTGCACCAAAATGGCGCCACTGGAATCCATACACCGGACCGAGATCACCTATAAAATATATGAAAGGGTGTTGATCAGTTACGTACAACGTGTTCCGCTATGCAATCATGATTATAAGTAAGTGTGCACTGTAATCATAATTTGTTTACTATTAATTGCAGCTGTAAGAAATACGGCGAACTAATCTTTACTGCGTACTGATAACGCCAATTGTATATACTTGTCACTAAAGGATACGTTTCTTTATTTAAAAGTAAATAGATGTAGCTACAAGCATGCTCATTTTTTTACACAAATTGCTCTTTTGTTAATAACTTTCACTCAGTTGATAAAACTTACTTTAAGCAATTAACAGAATATAATCAGAGTTCACACGCATAGAGTAGTTAAATCACAACATTTAAATTCTCACCGATGAGTTTTTTCATTGAAAATCTGAAATGAGCAGTGATTATTTCTCTTCGTTTTTGGTACGCAAATTTGAGTAAAACTTTCCCGAGTAGACGAGAATATTAAATCAATAGCAAGTTTTACTATTGAATTTGGTGAACAGAACATCAAAAATTGAGTTAAGAGGTAAAATATCAAAAATAGATATGGACCCATAACTGAGTAATAGCAAATACACTGGAGTCGCTTTTTACGCGGTTTTTTTACACGGTTTTAAAGAGTGCCACCAAAATAAATGTGAAATGTTTCCTCCCTAAATATTCTACTTATTTTACTGTTGAGCTTTGTTTCAATTTAGTTATTTTACCGCACGTATCAATCATTTTAAGATTTCGCGACCGTACCAAACAAATTATAAACTACATAAGCTCAAAAAATTTTGGTGAGCTCTACCTCATTGCGTATCACTTCTGCGTAAGCTCTGTAGACGTAGGTGCGTTGATTCCGACAACCGCGAAAAGTTGAACATGCATCAATATCACATAAGGAAAGATCGATTTTACATAGGGTTTAGTTCATAGATTAACATTGACGGCTGTTTACAAATGTAAGTACTTGAACACTAAGAAATAAGTTAACTCAAATGCTTTAACCGCATATATTAGAGATTTCGCGTATTAAGAGAATAATATAGTAATCGAGTACAACAAACTCATAAGAATACAATACCTCCAAAAGTTTAAAAGTTATTAATTGTCACGTATTTCTACTTTTACTTATTTCCTAAACTATTCCTCTCCTTGTTAATCTGCTTAATGCTATTGTGCTGCTTGCGTTTTCTTATTAAAGTTCAAGACTAAATACGAAGATTTATTCTACAATTTTAAAGGTTAATGGCTCCCTAAGCGGACCCCCCGCATCCTAATTCTTTTGTTAATCTACTTAATGTCATTAGACTTTCTGAAGTTTCTTATTTAAGTTTTTATTTTTAATGATTATGGGGGCGACCCCGGCGTAGTGGTTAACATCCATACCTCTCACGAGAAAGTCACGAGTTCAAATCTCACCCCCGGACAAGTCACGAATGACCCAAGGTGTTAAAGTGACTATAATAAAAAAAAAATAATGGTTATGATATCTCATTAGTCTAATTTAATAAATTATTAAAAGCTCTAATTCACCTAATCAATCATAACCCATGCTTTATTAAATACCTGCACTTGTGCTTGTAATCTAAAATTAACGTGTTTCAAGTACTTTTGATTTTGGCCTATACCTATTTATTATATCTTAGTTCGACCCAGGTAACACCTTCATGTGACTAAAATACTTCATTTTGAAGTTAGTTTCCTAGCTGATTTTTAAATTATATAGGGTATATGCTTCTCTTGAAGATGGCTGGAGGGACATCCGTTCAGCCATAGGTAGTACTGCTGCAGCGGCACTAGGTACTGCAATCCCGGACCGAAGAAATGACTGGTTTGACGGCGAATGCAAACTGTTAGTAGAGGAGAAGAATGCAGCACGGGCGAGAATGCTGCAACACCGCACGAGATTGAACGTGGAGCGATACAGACAAGCGCGGAACAGACAAAACTCGTTTTTCCGAAGGAAGAAGCGTCAGCAGGAAGACCGAGATCGCGAGACGATGTAAAATCTGTACCGCGTAAACGACACACGGAAGTTCTATGAGAAGCTAAATAGTTCGCGCAAAGGCTACGTTCCGCAAGCCGATATGTGCAAGGACTTGGACGGTAACCTTCTCACGAACGAGTGTGAGGTGATTGAGAGGTGGAAGCAGTACTATGACGAGCACCTCAACGGTGAAGCAGCGAAAAACGAAGGTGGCATGGCAACAGACCTTGGCGCACGCGCAGAAGACGACAGGCTACCGGCCCCTGATCTTCAAGAAGTTGAGGAGGAGATCGGTCGGCTGAAGAACAACAAAGCAACTGGTCTAGATCAACTACCAAGTGAGCTATTAAAATACGGTGGTGAAGCACTGGCTAGAGCGCTGCACTGGGTAATTGCCAAGATTTGGGAGGAGGAGATATTACCGGAGGAGTGGATGGAAGGTGTCGTATGCCCAATGTACAAAAAGGGCGACAAGTTGGATTGCTGCAACTACCGCGCGATCACACTGCTGAGCGCCGCCTACAAGGTACTCTCCCAAATTCTATGCCGCCGCCTGTCACCATTTGCAAGAGAGTTCGTGGGGCAATACCAGGCGGGATTCATAGGTGCCCGCGCTACCACGGACCAAATTTTCGCGATTCGGCAGGTTCTGCAGAAATGCCGCGAATACAACGTGCCCACACATCATTTGTTCATCGATTTCAAATTCGCATACGACACAATCGATCGAGATCAGCTATGGCAGATTATGCACGAATACGGATTTCCGGACAAACTGACGCGATTGGTCAAGGCGACGATGGATCGAATGATGTGCGTTGTTCGAGTATCGGGGACACTCTCGAGTCCCTTTGAATCTCGAAGGGGGTTACGGCAAGGTGATGGACTTTCGTGTCTGCTATTCAACATCGCGTTAGAAGCACCGACAAACCGACATGACACTTAATTCTGACTTATGCCCGAAAATCGTAAACGGTCCGAACTGTCAAAACCATAGGATTTTTTGATCTAGATAAAAATAATTTGTCCAGAATAGATCAGACACGAACCAATTCATAACTTTTGCATGCGGGTTCATGACTTAGCTAAATAGTTCCCGCAAATACGGAGCCAGATGTCAGTAGTGTGCTTTTGTTATGGGCATTCATGTCGGTTTGTCGGTGTTAGAAGGTGTGATCAGAAGAGCTGGGATAGACACGAGTGGCACGATATTCAGGAAGTCCATCCAGCTCCTTGGCTTCGCCGATGACATTGACATTATGGCACGGAACTTTGAGTTGATGGCGGATACGTACATCAGACTGAAGGCTGAAGCTAGACGGATTGGACTTGCCATCAACGCATCAACGACAAAATACATGAAAGGAAGAGGTTCTAGGGAAGACAATGTTAGTCTCCCACCCCGAGTTCAGATTGACGGTGACGAAATCGAGGTGGTCGATGAGTTCGTGTATTTGTGACCGTCAAAAATGATACCAGCAGAGAAATTCAAAGACGCATTATGGCAGGGAATCGTGCCTACTTTGGACTCCGGAGGACGCTCCGGTCGAATAAAATTCGCCACCGCACGAAGTTGACTGTCCACAAGACGCTGATTAGACCGGTGGTCCTCTACGGCCACGAGACCTGGACTATGCTCGTGGAGGACCAACGCGCCCTTGGTGATTTCGAACGGAAGGTGTTGCGTACCATCTACGGTGGAGTGCAGATGGATGACGGATCGTGGAGGAGGCGAATGAACCACGAATTGCACCAGCTGCTGGGAGAACCATCCATCGTCCACATTGCAAAAATTGGGCGACTACGGTGGGCTGGGCACGTCGGAAGAATGCCGCACGACGACCCAGTGAAAATGGTTCTAGAAAGCGACCCAACAGGAACAAGAAGAAGAGGCGCGCAGCGGGCAAGGTGGATTGACCAAGTAGAAGGTGACCTTCGTACCCTTCGCAGACTACGAGGCTGGCGAACTGTGGCCATGGATCGAGTAGAGTGGAGACGACTTCTTCGGACAGCAGAGGACAACAAGGCCTTAGCCTGATTGGTAAGGTAAGGTATATGCTCCAACTATGCTCACACGCTTCCACTATGTCGCACGCCACAGTGGAAATCCCGAGCCATAGTTCAAACACTTATCCCAAATCAAAATGAAGCACATGTACAAAAATGATGTTTAACATTGTTTCCTGAGTAATACTTCAATGAAAACAACAATGAAAGCTTGTCACGAAAATAGAAGGAGCACCGTTGGGCATTGTCTGAAACATTTCAATAGTATAATTCCCTTACAAACCCAAATAAATCTATCTGCGTAAAAATAAATAAAATAAGAGTGATTTGCGGCAAAAACCGCCAGTATCGCACCCAACGTCAGTGCCTATACGTAAGCGTACTACGACGCGGCTCTCAATCAAAGGAGTAACAAATGTGATATTATCACTGCTAGACTAGATCTTTGGTTCTCTCATGCAGTGGTTTATCAGAGAGGGGAAGCTTAGTAATCCCCATTGCCTGCCCATGACGCTATTCTATCGCGGCATGAGCCAGCAACACCGGCCATTAACCTACCGTCTCCAACACTCCACTATAAAGCACGAAATTAAGCCCGCCCACCAACAGCAAGGTGCAAAAACTAGCCAAGGGGAGGGAAAGAGTGGATCATATTGTTAATATAATATATTTGGCAATAGCAAAGTCTATAGAATAACAAAATCATAGCAAATTAATATCACCTGCTATCTCATCAAGCTATTGGTATGGTGTTAGAATTCATCAATTTAATGACATATATTAATAGCTTTTTCTCTGTTCGTGACGTAACACCACTGCTACCAGTAATTTGATTTCTATTGTAGTATATCCTATAGGCCTTTTTAATACAAACTAAACGATCGATTCGACCTCTGGTGATGAATAGGAGAAGGTCAAAAAGAGTGTTGTGAGCAGAAATTGTAGCCTTGAGACATAAGAAGCGGGACACTTTTTTACTTTTTCTGATAATTAGTTTTGGAGCATCTCAGATGAATCAATGCTCCAAAACTTAATCTACAGATGAAAAATTTAATTCTGTAACGTTTTTGCAAAGATCCTGCTGGTGTTCAGGAATATTTTTGTTGAGAAAAATGGAAAATTCGAAAAGTGCCTTAGTGGTTATGATCTTCCGGATTTCTTGTGTGTGAATAGTTAATGTACAAATCAGTTCAGATCTGTAGAAAATCGTACAATAAAACAATTACCGATGGAAATTGGCAAGATGTTGAATGAAAAATGCTTTAATTTGCGTTGTGAAAAATAGTTATTCTGATGTAAACAAACGTTTTGGTTGACGTTTCTGCTCGAACTCTCGTGGCGCACTCTAAGGACCACCAACGTTCTATTCTCCACGAGTGCCAACTTTGATTTGCCAATTGAGAAGTCCTTAAGTTTTCTACTAACGTAGCATCAACCACATTAAAATAAAAATGTTTCATTTGCAACATAAAAGCATTTTAAGATTGCAATCGTAAACCTCACCGTGCAAAATTTTGAAATCATCATCACACTCATAGTTCTTCTATTCTCCACGAGTGCCAACTTTGATTTGCCAATACGCCTTTTTAATAGCAAGAGCAAATTTTCATTACGTCGAAAGTAACAAAGTTGAGCTATCAGTGTCAATCGATGCTCCTGCTATACGCCTTTTTAATGCACCACCAACGTAGAGTGCACCACGCGAGTTCGAGAAGAAACGTCAACCAAACCGTTTGTTGTTATAAGAATAAGTATTTTCCCCAACGCAAATAACAGCATTTTTCATTCAAAATCTTGCCAATTTCCATCGGTAATTGTCTTATTGTACGATTTTCCACAAATCTGAACTGATTTGCACCTAAACTATTCACACACAAGAAATCCGGAAGATCATAACCACTAAGGCACTTTTCTAATTTTCCATTTCTCTCAACAAAAATATTCCTGAACTCCAGCAGGATCTTTTCAAAAACGTTACAGAATTAAATTTTTCAACTGTAGATTAAGTTTTGCAGCATCTCAGATGAATCAATTTATCAGGAAAAGTAAAAAAGTGTTCCGCTTCCTATGTCTCAAGGCAAAAATTTATGCTCACAACACTCTTTTTGACGTTCTCCTATTCACCACCAGAGGCTGAATCGATCGTTTAGTTTCTATTAAAAAGGCCTATAGCGCTCTGCTTTGTATGATTAAAACCCTGCTTAATATGTTAAACATTGCTATCACTATTAGATTATATGTTTGTAATTGGAAATAGGAATAACTTTTCGGTCATCAAAACAAATCTTTATTTTCTCGGAACGGTGCGAATGTTACTTGCGGCATAATGAAAATTTTCTCTTTAAATAGCCCTAATAAAAATAACCATAAAAGAGAGCTTAACGACGTGTTCGAGGTATCATCCAAACCATTTGTGGGATAGTTTACCCATCCGGGATACAGTTCGTTTATGGTATTTGTTTATTAGGGAAAGGAATGAAGAAGAATAAGAAGGGCAATTTTGGTCGGCAAATGAAAGTTGGCACTAGTGGAGAATAGAAGAAAGATGGCACTCGTGGAGAATAGATGAACTATGGTGTGATGATGGTTTCAAAATTTTACACGGTAAGGTTTACGATTGCAATCTTAAAATGCTTTTATGTTGCAAATGAAACATTTTTATTTTAATGTGGTTGATGCTACGTTAGTAGAAAACTTAAGGACTATTATTCTTTTTTTTTTCCTTTGGTTTGTTTTTTTTTCCGTTGATCTTGTTTTCCGTGCTGAGCACCAATGCTACCGACGTGCCAGGAAGGCAGCTTCCACACCTGGACCCTACCTATCGACCCATCAACTCATGAACCGGGGACCAACGGTACTTCCCATCCGAAGGAAGGCGTGATCAGAGATGTTATGCCTCAGAACATCCCGGCGGCGCCGACTGGTATTGAACCCAGGCCTACTGGGGTGAGAGGCAATCACGCTTACCACTACACCACCGGCGCCGTTTGGGGACTATTATTCAAAAGACATAATATCAGGCATAACATTTGATAACGGCACAAAAGCATTTGTAAACAAACTTTCTAAGGCCCTTTACACGCGAACCAAAGTACGCCCTTGCAAACCAATACCACTTTCGGAAAGGTGATAGTTGCCTCTAGCCGATGATGTTGGTTTGCGTGGGCGTACTTTGGTTCGCGTAGAAAGGGCCTTAGAAAGTTTGTTTACAAATGCTTTTGAGCCGTTATGCCTGATATAGAAAAAATAATATCTTTACAGATTTTTAGGTGTATACATAGATTTTAGCAGATACTGTAGCTGCAACCAAAATTAAATAATATGCTCCATTTGCAAAATAAAAGCATTTTAAGATTGCATTCGTATACCTCTCTGTGGAAAATTTTGAAACCATCATCCCTTCCATAGTTTTTCTATTCTCCACGAGTGCCAACTTTGATTTGCCAATCTGCAAATTACAAAACTTTAATCCGAGGATAATACCGGTTGAAGCTTACCACCGTAATACCCTGGACAGACTATAGCTTATATCATGTAATATAGGCTGTCTTGCAATGAGCACTCATACATCTAGTTTTCACTGGAAATCCTATGTATGAGTGCTCATTGCAAGACAGCCTATATTACATGATATAAGCCATAGTCTGTCCAGGGTATAAGTGTTTGGCACAGATAACAAACGTCCAACTTCCGTCAGAAACGTAAAGATAAGTGGGAACATCGCCATTACGGGGCGCTAGTATCTCATGATTTCCTTTATAAATTTTCCACTTTCAACCAATTTGGCGCTACCGGCACTTAGACGCGTTCCCGATCAACAATGTCCGGCTGCTTTAATGCCGACATTAGATGTAATCAACACGACGCTAAGCAAGCGTATAGCAGATCATCCAACCCGTGATGGTATAAAAAGTGAATCAGAGCTTACCGCCATTTATATTCACCTGAAATGTGCGATGGAAAATATCTACGCACAGTTTCAGGTGAAAAATCTGGTAGGTCTCGACACGATTAATTTTTATTATATACTAACCTTCTTCTCGATCGACAAATCCAGCGGCGTCCAAAAACTCTCGGGTACTATTGCCGTCCCAAATGTGAATATTTTTAGCTTGTAAATCCTTGGCATTTGTGCTACCCCTAATGAACCATAGAAGCTCTTCTGCCACGCCTCGAAAGAATACACGCTTCGTAGTAAGCAGAGGAAGTACATTATTTCGGAGGTTATAGCGCATCTGGCTACCAAAGATGGATAAAGTACCCACTCCAGTGCGATCTAGCCGTTTATTTCCAGTGGTTATAGTGCGGTCAATCATATTTAGATACTGCATCTCTTCCTCATTGCAGTATTTTTGTTCATTGTTTTCTACGTTGCCAACTGATTTATCAGCAGAAGTTACACCATTTTCGATCACTGAAGAAGCCTTATAACATTTAGGAAATGAGAACGCTCGGTAAATAAAACGATACATTGTAGAAATTTAAATTAGTTTACCATTTTCAACTATTGCCAATTCGAACCTCCTCGGATGATAAACTGAATGAAACTGATTATTAACCGGAGATATAACTCTGTATTTGTATACACTTATTTTTTTTAACTGTTTCTTTCTGTACTCAGAATTCGCACAATCAAAGTTTTCCCGCCATTTTTTAGCTAACTTTTGATAAGGTAAGTGAGTTAAATTTAACAGCTTTAACTCACCTCTGGTGGTCGGCGTTCATTTGACTTGACATTGAATAGAGCAAATCCGACATCGACCAAATTTCTAGACGTGCAGTTCGAGTGAGTTGAACGCTTAATTGAATTATCTTAACCCGGCTTTATGGAGTTCTTCATGCATGCTGCAGGATCTCAGTATAAGAGATTGCTGACGTTAATCGTACGCACACTATGTCACGTATCCAGCTGGCTGGCATGCCGCCATGTTATTGAAACCAACATCTGAAACGTCACAATTCCAGTGTGAACTGCAAAAATGGCGTGACTGAATTGTCTTATTTTTATCAAATGAAATTATTTTCCCTTTTATGCCATATAAATGGTTGACTTCGTGGAAGAAAATTAGAAAATAATATTTTATGAGTCCTAAGTTCTAGATAAACATTTCAAAAGGTCCTATCTGACATTTGTAAACAAATCGAGTTTAATGCTTCTCTGCACTGCAGAGCTCACCATCTCTAAGTATTGTTCTAGAAATTTTAATTATCAATATTCAGAAAATTATAAAAATATATGAAAAAAACGTCCAATTTGAAAGTTTTTGTAATATCGCACAGCTCTCTGATTGGACCTTAAACATGTTTACAGTCCAATCTGTCATTCAACCAAAAAAAAAATACAAATGCTATTAGGACCTTTGTTTCATCTCGTGTTTCACGTGGAATAGAAAAACTAAAACTCATTATAGTTAGTTGGAAATGCTATACTAATATGAACATGAAGTTTTAGAAATTCCTATGGATCCAAGATCTAACTGGGAAGTGGGATATGAGAAAGTTTAATTTACGATGCCTGTAATCAATCGCTCTGCTTCTGGTATGGAGTTGACGAATTGATTGCGATTCCAGGAGTACACCAAGGCAAAAGCTTATTCAAAATTCTGTCAAATCCGACATGCGATATTACAAGCGTGAATTTGGACGAGGATTTCGATCCAATTGCGGATCAACCACTTGAATTGCCAGAATTGGACGATTTACGCAAACTGATGCCATATGTCAAGCAAAAAGATTATTTTGCAACATTGCAACAGAAAAAAAAACAGGAAGAAGAACAATAATACGGTTGTAGACCACTTTGATGTGGATCTCAATCCACTGGAGGACAGCGATGTAGATTTGATCGAATAACATGAATGAATGTAAATTATTGATGAACAGCTTGAGCTAATAAATGTAAAACGAATGATGTAGAATGAAAAAAAAAGAGTTTGTTTATAAAAATATACCGAATATTAAAAAATATGCAAATTGTCCATACAATTACATCAGAAAAAAATAATGGACAAGTTCTTATTATAAACGTTGTTTACTTAATAAATTGACAGAATAGTAGTTTTAAGCCCATGAACAATTACAAATAATGATGTAGTTGTAATTATCTGACCTCTAAACCGTATTCTTACCAAGGTCCTAAGTAACATTAACTTTGCAATCAGACCAATTTGACAGGTCCTAACTGATACAGAAAAAAGCCAAAGGTCCTATGTAACAAAACCACGAAATAAACCTGAAAATTATGAATAAAACGAAGAAACATACACTTCAGTCAAATTCTATGTGTTTCCTATGCATTTGAGAATACAAAAGATTATCGTTTTATGTCGTAATTAAAAAAGGCATTTAAAAATATATTGCAAAAGTTCAAATCAATTTTTCTCCAATCAGCTTCAATGACAGATAGGACCTTTTGAAATGTTTGTCTAGAGTTTATTTTTCACAAAATGTAAGCAAAAATATTAAGAATATCCATAATATCAGTCACGCCTTTTTTGAAATTCTGGCTTGAATCTTCTATTTGTTTACAAATTATGAGCTGTCAGTGGGGCCCGCAATTCGCGGGTCCGCAGCGATGTTAGCTCTTTTCAAGGCAAGGCAAACAAGATAGGGATGCCAGCTAGCTGCACGTATCCGTATTAGGTTTTGCACCTTCGGGGTTAACCTCTATCTGATGACAGTTTAGTGGTACTGTTTACGTGGACTTAGCCGATTTTTTCTTGGGTGGATTTTCTCGATAATTTTTCAGACTGCAGTGAGATGTAAACCACATTTCTGCAATGTTCACGAGCAACATCCTTGCAATGCGCTGTTCCTCGACAATTTTCAAGTTAAAATTCGGAAATTTTAGAATTCTTTTTTTCGAAAAAACGACTAAGTGCTTGTAAACAGTACCACTGAACTGTCAAAAAGGTTCAGCCGATTAACACTGAGTTCATTTGTGACGTCACGCTGCAGAACCTAATTAGGTTTTGCACCGTCGGGGTTAACCTAAATCTGATGACAGTTCAGTGGTACTGTTTACGTGGACTTAGTCGATTTTTTCTTGGGTGGATTTTCTCGATAATTTTTCAGACTGCAGTGAGATGTACACAGCATTTCTGCAATGTTCACGAGCAACATCCTTGCAACGCGCTGTTCCTCGACAATTTTCAAGTTAAAATTCAGAAACTTTAGAAATTTTTTTTCGAAAAAACGACTAAGGCTCTGAACCATTTGGTGGATTATTTTAACTTTTGGTTAAAATTTGACAGATGAAAAGTTATCGATTAACCCTGCTATCCGAGCATGGTTATTTCTGACAGACAAGAAGTTAAATTTTGACAACCGTGGCTCGAAAACCGGCCGATCGACAGCACGGGGATTTTCGAACATAGAAAATAACTTTCGAAATGTCACTTTTAACCACGAGTTAAATTTAACTCGGCAAATGGTTCACACCCTAAGTGCTTGTAAACAGTACCACTGAACTGTCAAAAAGGTTCAGCCGTTTAACACTGAGTTCATTTGTGACGTCACGCTGCAGAACCTAATTAGGTTTTGCACCGTCGGGGTTAACCTCAATCTGATGACAGTTCAGTGGTACTGTTTACGTGGACTTAGTCGATTTTTTCTTGGGTGGATTTTCTCGATAATTTTTCAGACTGCAGTGAGATGTACACAGCATTTCTGCAATGTTCACGAGCAACATTCCTGCAACACGCTGTTCCTCGACAATTTTCAAGTTAAAATTCAGAAACTTTAGAAATTTTTTTTCGAAAAAACGACTAAGTGCTTGTAAACAGTACCACTGAACTGTCAAAAAGGTTCAGCCGTTTAACACTGAGTTCATTTGTGACGTCACGCTGCAGAACCTAATTAGGTTTTGCACCGTCGGGGTTAACCTCAATCTGATGACAGTTCAGTGGTACTGTTTACGTGGACTTAGTCGATTTTTTCTTGGGTAGATTTTCTGGATCATTTTTCAGATTGCAGTGAGCTGTAAACCACACTTTTGCAATGTCCACGAGCAACATCCTTTCACCACGCATTTCCTCAACAATTTTCAAGTTAAAATTCGGAAATTTTAAAATATATTTTTTCGAAAAAACGACTAAGTGCTTGTAAACAGTACCACTGAACTGTCAAAAAGGTTCAGCCGTTTAACACTGAGTTCATTTGTGACGTCACGCTGCAGAACCTAATACGCAAAATGTTTTCATCGGGAAAAAAAACTTCATTAGGTTCTGCAGCGTGACGTCACAAATGAACTCTGTGTTAATAGGCTGAACCTTTTTGACAGTTCAGTGGTACTGTTTACAAGCACTTAGTCGTTTTTTCAAAAAACAAATTCTAAAATTTCTGAATTTTAACTTGAAAATTGTCGAGGAACAGCGCGGTGAAAGGATGTTGCTCGTGGACAATGCAGAAGTGTGGTTTACATCTCACTGTAGTCTGAAAAATTATCGAGAAAATCTACCCAAGAAAAAAACGACTAAGTCCACGTAAACAGTACCACTGAACTGTCATCAGATTGAGGTTAACCCCGACGGTGCAAAACCTAATTGAGTTTTTTGACGCTTAATCGGCGCACACTACACTGTACACAAACATCATCCTCTGATCGAATGAAACATCAGACCATTCAAAACAAAAGACCGAAATCACTTTTTCGAATGATAGCTGCAACCGGATGACGGTTGTTTTGAAATCAAATGATTTTTCTCTCGAATACTGGATGAAACTTGTTATGAGAAGAGATACACAGCAAAAAAATGTAATATCGATCAATGTAATTCAAGCTGATGTATGAAATTATGATGTAATCTCGGATGTAATAGCAAAAAGCAGATACAATATTACATCAATGAATGTAATTTTGTTCACAAAATCGATGTACATCGTACAACGTTATATTACACAACCGATGGATTGGCCTGGTTGCAGCAGTTTGGATGTAATATTCAACAACTTTTTTTTTCTGTGTAAGGCCTTCAGTTGAAATGCGTAATGCTCTTTGTAGAATGACTGTCATACTAAATGGAAATGCATATGGTATTGGTTCAGCCCCATAACGCAAATCATTCAAAACGATGATGTAAATAATTCTATCGAACGTCATTTGCTGATCTGAGCTGACAAACTAGGTGGAAGCATATGCATCGCTATCAGAGCTTTTACGAACCACGAAATTTTTTTGTATCCATGATGGAATGGCTTATTGTGACTATTCAGTATGGAATTGTCGAGAATTGTACATAATCAAATTATAAATCTAATTAAAAGCACTTGTATGTCACACTATTCTTAAATGTTTGTCTACTGAGTGCCGTATGTTTTATAGCTAATTTTCAAACGAAAATCATCCTGTATTTGGATGACAGTCATCTGACGACAAAATCAACCATAAGAAAATCATCCGAAATTCGAATGCATATTGTTAAAGGGCTCGAGCAATGTAATAATCATTCGAAGTATTGCGGATGTTTTGGTTCAGTGTAATGCATCATTTAAATGAAAAGAGTGCGAGCAAGAGGGAAACAGATTAGTGGGAAAAACAAACCATTCATTCATCCCTGTGTACTAGATAGAGAAAGACTATTAAATATAAAAAAAGCAATGAACTGTATTACCGAGGTGAAGCAGTCGGTTAAGTTGTGTGAGTAAAATCCCTGTACGCACATGCAATTAGTGACGTCACTAATTGCGTTTACGTTGATTTTTTGGATTACTAATACAACCATATTTCACGATCTGCTTTACCTCTCTCTGTATTCATT